CTTCCCACTAGAATGAGGACAAAATTTTGTGTCCATTTTGTTCAGTGATGGCTCCCAAGTGCCCAGAACGGGGGTTGGCCAACTGTGACTCACAGAAAAACTCCAGCCTACCTCCTGTTTCTATGCAGCCCACGCAGACAGCATGGGTTTTACATTCATAAATGGTTGAAAAAATCAAAAGGAGAATAATATGTCATGACATGTGCAACATGAAATTTCTTGTCTACAAATGACGTGTTACTGTCACACAGCCATGCTCGTTCATTAATGTGTTGTCCATGGCTCTTTTTGTGCTACAGGGAAAGAGTGGAGAAGTTTCAACTTGCTCCACCTCCCACCCCACAAGCCAAAAATAATTACTATTTGGCCTTTTACAGGGGGGAAAAAAAATGCAGGCCCCAGGCCTAGAACAATTCCTCTCAACTTCTTTTAAAGTCAGATACATTAATATTTAACCCTCACAAGTTTCTTTTTGAAAAGAAAGTCTAGTCTATGTATAACTCTAAGAACAACCACCAGATCATATCCTAGCATAGAGAGGCTCACGGCAGAAGCAGAACACCCTGGATGAGACACAGACACAAAGGCCATACTACCTGGGCTCAGACGGGCTCCGCCACCCACCAGCTGTGCAACCCTCAGCAAAATGCTTAACTTCTCTGTGCATCAGTCTCCCATCTATAAAATGAGGCTAATGATGGTACCCATCACTTATGGCTATTATGAGCATTAGATAAATTAACATGTAACCTGGTATGAAGTAGCTGTTATAAACAAACATTTTTTACTGCATTTTTATGTCAAGAAAATGGAGATACTTAGAAATTAGCTAAGATCATAAGTAAACCTCATCATGTTTCTAAATATGGGAAAAAACATAAGCAAGAAGTAAAACATGAACATGTCCACTTTTGTCAGTATGCACTCTAAGCCAATAACATGCATTAATATCTACTCTAATTGCGTTTTGATTGGAAGATGTAACTATTTGTCTCCCAAACCAGTGGTATAATTTTGCAATCAATGGTCCTGTTTCAGATAATAAACAAATTGTATTCTGAATGGTTGAGTTAATTCTGATACAAAATCTAACTACTTAACAACTGCTAATCTGGGGATATCAAATTGGTATAAAGGGAAGGAACAATTTGGGGAATGCACGGTCACAAGCTTTGTTTTGTTAAGGTTGTGATCAGTTCTGAGAAAGAGAGCCAATAGAAAACAGTGCCTCACAGTTAGAGAAACACTTCCCGAACACCAAGCCAGGAATCAAAACTGTGGATGAGACAATCTAACAGCTTTTTAATCATTGCAGGTCATTGTAGCAAATGGGTAATTAGTATGTCTGATGTTTACATTAATTCATGTGAAATCTTTAAATAGACTATGTTTTGTAGAAAGTGAAATCTTTATAGGGTAGTCTTCTATCTGCTATAAAACATAATATCTTGAAAACTCTACACTAATACAGAACTCTACACGGGACTGCAACACCTGGTGGTCAAATGTTTAAAAAATGTGACCATTCCCATGAATGCATTTCCCCTACAGGTGTTTCTGGAGGAGGTTCAATGGCCTTTTGTCATGTACAATAGTAACGTCCATTGAGAAAGATATTGGTGAAGTGCAATGCTGAGGCTTTTTAATTCTATAACCTTATTCCTTCAACTTTCAATTGGCATTTATTTAACTCTTCCATTGTGGGAGGTGCAATGAAAATGCAAAAGAGAAATTAATTAATCCAGTCCAATTTGATTTATTTGGGACAATGACTAAATTCTGCATTAAAATGTAAGAAATCAAAATAAAAAAGAAATTTTGGGTTGCTTAAGATAAACTTAGATTATAAGTCTCCTATTGTTTACTTTTTAATGTTCTACACATTGCATGTCATGTCCCTTTACTAAATTAAATTTTTATGCTTTAGAAGTCTTTAATAATGACTTTTCCAAAACTTTTCAAGAACTTATTTCTTAAGTTTTATATTTCTTACAAGAAAAAAAAACAAAAATAATGAAGAAAGAGGACTTCAAAATATTTTAATTTTTGTCTACTCACGTCTTGTCTTAAATTAGTTATGTATACATTTGAATATAAGAAAGTAAAGCTCTTATTTTTAAACTTATTGCCCTAAATGCTTAGTTTGCTACAATAAAATATGAATCTGAACATAAATGACACACTCAAAAAACAAAGCAACGAGAGCAAAAATTAAAAGTTAATTTGGTTATTTATAAAGTCTTTATGCTTGGGTTGCTTTATTTTTCTAGACTTAATAAAAATGCAGAATTACTTAATATTTACAAACATGTTTAAATTTTGTTATATTAATAGACCTATTTTCTACAGATAACATATTCTTAACAAGTAAATTCTCTTTGCAGTTATTCTATTTTGTTCTTATTTCAACAGACTGGTCAATTTTAATTTAACACCTCCTCCGAATTTGGGGAACTATTTAGACTTTAAGAACTACAGGTGAACAAAAAATAAATACAATGGATGCCCTTCCATTCAATTGTTTTCAATAAAAGTGATGCAATTGCAAAAACAATGGTTTAACGCATTTACCTCCCTTTTAAACCACACATAAGGCTGAAAGAACATTTTTATATTATGCTGATAATATAATAAATGGGCTGATGTAATGCTATTGGCTGCAACTCACAGCATTTTCTACATTAAAGTTAGTAACTTGATGCTTATCCTTACATTCTTTTTGTGAATTAAAATTAGAATAATGCCATTAGTCCCTAAAATTAACATGCTATAGTTAGCAATAATGTAACAGAATCTCAATTATGTTTCTTTGAGATCAACAATAGATTCCCATGAACTATTTTCTGTATCTTTCTCTTTGAAAGGAAAATACAGTTTCTCACTATGCAGAAGGATTAGATTCTTTCAGCATCCATGACACTTGTAAGCATTCGGTGGTCAGACACCACTACAGATCCTTCAAATGACATGGCCCAGTGAAGCTGGGAGGTGTCACCATGGAGCCGGCAGCCTGATATCGCAGCCATCCGCCAGGACAGAGCCGGCAGGCCCGGCTGGCGTGCTGCAGCCAGACTAAGGTGGCAAATGGGATTTTGCATTTTGAAAGTCCACCCTTGTAATACTGACTCCTGGGACACACTTATTCGATACAAGTGCATGGAGGGCCTCAGAAATTATTTATTGGACCAAATGTATAAAGCTCGTTTCCAAAAATTACTCTTAGAACAAGTTAACTCTTAATTTTATTATCCTTCTGGCTTTCTGAATTCATACTAGATAGTACATATTTTTAAAAATATGGGTACATGTACATTCAGGACTACAACTGTGTTGTGTGAGTCTTGAATCTATATGTGTATGCTAAATTAAGTATGCTGGCAGGAAGTTATAAAGGTTAATAGAATATTAATCACCAGTGCCCATTGTGCAATGCTATTGCCCATCACACTAAAGCTTACCATTTTGATCTTTAAACACATGAAAAACTCCTACAAAATAAATGTACATTTCATCGTCTTCTTCTCACTTGGATGCTGTGTTCACTACTTAAGCACACAGGGGTTTGCATTCCTGCTTGTGTTACTGTCTTACTGTCATCTTTTGCCACCACAGATTATTAACCCATCTCTCACAAATATGAGAAAAATCAACTTATAAGGTTCCTAACTCCAAGGTTTCCCATGCCTCCTGTGGGCCTCACCCGAGCACCAGGGCTGCCTAAGCAACTGCAGAGAATACCTTCCATGTCTTAAAACTTTAGCCACCGGGGTCTGGCAGAAACACCGTGACGGGGAAAATAAACACCGAGTTCCACAAGGCTGCACAGAGTGGGCCCAGCCCCTCGGACATCCTCCGGATCGGGAAAGTGCCACGATGGGCGCCTGAACCCCGCCTTTCCTGATGTGACACCTCAGTGGGTTAGGCTGGGGTAGCCTGGCGTCTGGGATCGTGATGTTCCATCATGGGAAACTGAACAGATACTGCTGCTTCTTTTCGAAAAAAGAGGAAGCATCCCTAGTCTTGGGCTCATTAAAAAGGGTTTTAAAAAAAGGAGCCAGTAAAACACGACTGTCAGATCCTACAGTATTTTCTTTTTGGTTTGTTTTGATCTCAGCAGCACTGTAAAAAGGCATCCTTTCTCTCTCCCCTTGGACATGAAATCCGATTTGCAATACACACCAGGGGCAGATTGCAAGGAGCAGCAACAGCCACAACAACGGATCCCCAGCTCCCTGTGGCTTCTGGGCAGGCACACAGCCCTGCCTGGGGCCAGATGACTCCCTTCCTCCCCATTTTCAACGACCTCCCCTTTGAGATGGGGGCCACTGGGCGTGATCCACCCCCACACACCCTGACACCTCTGGCTCTGCTCTCCTTTGAAAGTGACAAGGAAAGGCTTCCCACGAGACAGAAAAGTTTGCTGGGCATGTGATGCCTGCCTTTCCAGTAGCCAGTAGCCACCCTCAGAGACAAAGCACTCGGGGGCTCTCACCTCCTAAGGGAGCAGACCTCACGGCGCCCCAAACCAGGAAACCACTTGAGCATCTGATGGAAGGATGGGAGCCTGCCTCTCCCAGCTGCCAGGTGCTTCGGATGGCTCAGGGCAGGGGGAGAGGTGAAGCCGGAGGGAACTCCTCCAGGCAGCATCCACTCACTTTGATTTGAGTTCAAGTGCAGCTGGATGGAGAGGGCTCCAAGGCTGCACTTTAACTGCTCTGGCCTTTGGCCCCACCTGCCTGCCAATTTCGCTCCATGAGTCCCACCTTTCCCGCTCAGGGGGCGCTGGGAACCTGGCTACCCAGAGCCTGGGGACCTTTCGGGGACCCTGCCATCAACTTTCCCCACAGTCTGGATTGTTTGTTTGCATGAGTTTGCAGTCTGCCTGAGTGCCGGCCCAGCTCCCCACCCCCGTCCCTATCCCATCCCCTCCCCTCCCTTCCCTGCGGCCTCTCACCGCCCCCCACCCCACCCCCCCAGCTCTCCCCTTCGTCGTCGCCTACCTGCTGGCCAGGCTCTGCCGGCAGTGCTGCCGGAAGGGCATCAGGTGGTAGTTCATGGCGTCCAGCAGCAGCTTCTGGCAGACGGGGTCGCTGCGCATGAAGTCCACCGACTGCACGCGCTCCACCAGCTCGGGGGCCGGGATGAGCGCGAAGCGGAGGCGCTTCATGAGGTCGGGCGCGTGCGGCATGCGGGCCTCGCGGTCGTGCTCCAGCCACAGCACGGACATCTGGAAGAGCGCCAGCTCCGACTCCACGGGCGGCGGCAGCGCGTCCAGCAGGGCGCGCAGCTCCTCGAAGTTGAGCAGCAGCACATCCTCCACCAGGTACTTGTTGGCCAGCTTCTTGGTCTCCTCCAGGCCGTGCAGCGCCGCGATCCGGCACACCTGCTTGTAGTTCTGCACCGAGATCTGGTCGTTGAGGAAACTGCACGCCAGAGCTTGGTGACCTGCGGGATGTGCAGGATCTTGCTGACCGACCAGCCCCTTCTCCGCCGTGTCCAGGGACCAGGGGTCCCGTTGGCCGTGTAGAGGTACTCGAGCCCCCAGGCGCAGGGCCGACGGGACGAGCAAGCCCTGCAGCACCAGGTTGTTGAATGGCCCCCGGGGCTGGTCCAGCAGCTTGTTCTTCGGGGGGAGGAGGCGGGCGTCCCGGGGCTCCTCCTGCGGGCGGCGGCGGCGGCGGCTGCTGCGGCGGGTGCGGCTGCGGCGGCTGCGGCGGGTCCTTGGGGGCCCCCAGGCCGTCCTGGCCGACGCCCCCTCCCCCGAGCGGCGGGGGGCTGGAGAAGAGCGAGCGGAAGTACTGCGAGCAGGAGGCCAGCACGGCCTTGTGGCAGTGGAACTGCTGGCCCTGGGCCGTCAGGGTCACGTCGCAAAACAGCTGCTTGCGCCACAGCAGGTTGAGGCCGTGCAGCAGGTTGTCGCTGTGGCTGGGGTCGAAGGTGGAGGTCCTGTCCCCGGATCTGGACATGGCGAGCGGCTGGGCGCACCTGGCTTTAAACCCTCCTCCAA